TAAATGTAAGTACTTTTTTGTTATATTTGTTTAATTTTATAGATCTAAATACTTTTTGGTTCAAAAAATATTTAGGGGCTTAATCGTTCAAAATATGAATGTTCCTTGGGTTTTTTTCCGGATTTTTTTCACTATTTTATCACTTTAACTAGTTGTACAAGTCATAAGAATGTATCCAACATGTTTTATAAAAGTTCAAAAAGTTATTTAACATGTTTTGGATTGTTCAAGGACTTATTTGTTCCAAAAATTGTTCAATGACTTATTTGTTCCAAAAATTGTCCAAGGAGTTATTTAACATTTTTTGGAATGTCCAAGGACTTATTTATTCCAAAAATTGTCCAAGGACTTATTTAACATATATTGTACTTTTCCCAATATATAGTTACTGATTTCTAGAAACATAAATTACCTTAAATATTAATTAAAAAAATTCTCTTTAACTTAATACTTATATTAATATATCATTTTTCTCTTACTTTTTTAAATAAGGTTTAAAATTTTGATCACAGGTATAATAATACTAACATCATTACTATGTTATATGATATTTATGGATGCTCTTAAAATTTTAAATTCACAATTTATTACAGCATAAGTACAAGTTCTTAGTGTTCACATTTAAATTTAATAAAATTAAATAATAATCTATTGATAAACACATTCAAATATAGGATAAACCAATGATGAAGGCAACATGCACTTAGCATATATTGACCCTATGACTATTCCATCAATATAGTATATTATAGAAATTATAGCCTTATAATCTAAATAGTTTGAAATAGTTGTTTGTACGTCGGAACACAAAGTTCAAATATTTGGTCTTGCCTTTTCTAATATTCGTTTCTTTTTCTTTTAAGATCTCAGACATTTATTTAATTATCAACTTTCTTAATTTTTAGTTTTCAGTAATTAAATTCTTTTGGTTTTAAATTAGAGGGTTCGAACTTATGGTATGTTTTTTTATTCATATTCAATTCTTTTTCCTTTTTCTCATATTCAGTTCTTTTTATTTTAAAATTTTATTTAACTATCAAACTATTTTAATTTCTAGTTTTTAATTAATTAAATTTGTTGGTCTCAACTGTATCCACAAAAGTTTGTAGATAACGGCTTGTAAATGAGAGAATGAATACAAACATAAAAACTTTCATTTTTAAAAATTATATATTAATAAAGAAGATCAATACAAATTTTACAGATTGTTTGCGAAAGAGATAAGATACATAACATATCTAAACAATCAAAGATAGACACAAGTTTACAAATAGCAATAATAAAAGAATTGCTACAAGAAATAAGGTAAGAATACATGTGCTCTTCACTTGTTAAAGTGAGTCTTTCTCTTGGATAGAGAGTAATGAGAGTAATAACTTCTTGGATAAGTTCTTAATGAGGAAGATGATAACCGAAAGGAGAACCACTCAACTATTTATACCCATTGCATTAAATATGATTCAGAAGCTAGAGGGCACATGTCAAGCTTTTGAAGGAAAGCTTGTCATTTATTCAGATATTACAGACTTTTGGACGTCTGTGAACATTCTTCTTTCATTAAGTAGATGAACACATTTAGAGTCAAATGAGTGGCTATGTATTGTATTATACTTAGAAAGGTAAGTGTTTATCCTTTGTGTGTGGTAGGATATAAACAATCTTGCTCGACAAGATTCGTTTAATTGCTAAATAGTGGGATGACGCTAAAAGGTCTTATCAATGTTTGCTGAATTTTGCGCATACTTCACACGTATGTAGACGAGCTTGTTATCATTGAATACTGCTTCAGATCACGAACTTGCTGGTCTCTAATCTTCAGCTTCTGTCTTCGACATTATTGAAGGATCTGTGATGTAAGTTTTGTCTTCTTGAAGTATAACAGTCTTTGAACGATTTACAATACATGTTTAGCGATCACTGAACGGACTCAGTGAAGATCGCTGAAACTAAATGACAGAAACAATATACTTCGATCGATAAAAGAGATCATCATCAAATCAATAAGAAAGGGGATCAACAAAATTCTTTTTGATTTTTAAAATACTTATATTCACGTAATTTTCAATATTTATGTTTATATTATCAATGACAACTTTTTTTGTTGTTTTCATTAATTAAAGTTTTATAGAAATATATTATTACATCAAAAACTAAAATAAACTATATTTAATATTGATGTCAGTGTATAAACTTCAAAAACATATGAATTAATGTTTTAAAATTATATATTAGACAACATATTATTATATGTTATTTTTATACTATAAATATCTATTATATTGAGATATATATATATATATATATAATGTATTTATATTGATATAATTTATTTATGATATATTAGTGTAACTAATGATACAAAATATATTTTAGGCTAAAATAACATGTCTCTTCTAATATTTCACAAACAAAAGTCACAATAGCCGTGGTATTTTTGTTTTGTTTTATCTACACACATCACAAATCAAATTTCCTATTAAAATCTCACGAGACTTAGAGAACCAACATTAATCGTATATCTCACATTAACCTCTTGTTTAAATAAATTTGATCGACAAACTAAATTTGAAAACTTCAGGCCCCTTATATAAAATTATGGCTACGCCCTTGTGATAAGCATTGAGGCTTACCAATACCACATTATACTCTACAAAATTTATAATCAATCAATTACTCTCTTGTTCTCTTAAAACCATACGAAACCATACGAATAAAATTAAGAATGATAAAAGTATAGAACAAAACATAAAACATAGTTGACAACATGTGCTCTTAGTTTCATAATTAGTTTCGCTCCACTTCTAGTATATTCTTTAGTTATGTTTGTTAATCATAAGCGCTCTGGTTTATTGTTGGAACTTATTGAAATTGTATCGTTTAATAAACCTTAAACTGATTTATAAGTTAATAATTTGAAAAATTACTTCTAAGGGGCCGTTTACTAAATACTTACCCGGTAAGTGTGGATCGAGTAACTTTTTTCACCTGATGCACATGGCAAGGGCTGAAAATCTTACCCGGTAAGAACGATGATAGGGATAGAGAGTTTTACCCGGGTAAGCATTTACCGGGTAAATTGTTGCATATGATACCGTTTTAATATACTACAATCTTATCTGGTAAAATAAATTATAGTGTTGACTCCTACCGGATAAGTATTTGGGTAAACGGCCCTTAACGTGCTTAAGAATTTATTTATTTTTCTAATTATATTATTTATATGTTAAATTTGGTAATGCTTCAACATATTTTTATATTACCATCTTGAATCATGATCAGTTTATTAATTTAAAATAAAATTTACAACCAACAAAAACAAAATCCTCATCATCAAGTGAGAATAGATTTCTGTAAAATGAAAAATAAAACTCAAAATATTAATTTGATATTGAAGTTGAGCTGTAATTAAAAAGGGAATCTCCTTAACCCCATTTCTCTCACCAATCAACTCCATATGATCATGATCATGATCATGATCATGATCTTAATAATTAAAAGTGCACATACATTTATGTATTTTTTTTTTTTGGAAGAAGGTTATTGCAGTGATAGAACACCTGCATAATACAAGAACACCCTGGAGATGGACCCACTTTCTGAATGATTGTTTTTGCCTTATTAATCAAATCAATTATCACTCCCCTCCCCTCTATCTTCATCTTCTTCCATTCTTCTTCTGTAAACCCTGAATCAACATGCATGACACTTGAAAATTGAACTCATCATCATCATCATTCAGCCTTTTCATTTTTGCAGAAATTAATTAATGGAAGCCAATATCAACTTTCTAACCACTTGCATTGCCCTTCTGTTTCTTCACCCTCTTGTTTTTGCTAAGGGAGGAGGAGGAGTTGATGAACTCTCCTCCCTTCTCTCTATCAAATCCGCCATTGTTGATTCTTTAAGTTTTCTCAAAGACTGGGACTCGCCGACCACATCACACTGCAACTGGACTGGAATTTCATGCAATCAACATGGTTTTGTTGAAAAAATCGATCTTTCCAACATGAATCTCACCGGAAACATCTCCGAGGATTTCCAACACTTCCTTCATCTTTCTTTTCTCAACATTTCTTCCAATGGCTTCTCTTCGATTCTCCCAAAATCACTTGCCAATCTCACTTCACTCGTTACCATTGACGTTAGTCAAAACAACTTCGCTGGAGAATTCCCGGAAGGTTTCGGAATTGGAGCAAATCGATTGAAGTCCGTCAATGCTTCAAGCAACAATTTTTCTGGGTTCCTCCCGGAGTATCTCGGAAACGCCACATCACTCGAGACACTTGATTTTCGTGGTAGTTTTTTCGAGGGATCAATTCCGAAAAGTTTCAAGAACCTGCAAAACTTGAAGTTCCTTGGACTCTCCGGGAACAATCTGACCGGAAAAATCCCACCGGAGATCGGCGATCTTTCTTCTTTGGAGGTTATCATTATTGGGTACAATGAATTTGAAGGTCCAATCCCGCCGGAGATCGGCAACCTTACCAATTTACAGTACCTGGACTTGGCAGTGGGCACACTCAGTGGTTCAATCCCGGAAGAATTGGGTCGGCTCAAGAAACTCACCACAGTATACATTTATCAGAACGATTTCCAAGGCAAGATTCCTCCGGAAATCGGAAATCTTTCTTCGCTTATTTATCTTGATCTCTCCGATAACCGTTTTTCCGGCGAGATCCCGGAAGAGATAGGTGATCTGAAAAGCTTAAAGTTATTGAATCTGATGTGTAATCAGCTCACAGGTTCTATTCCAAACAAGATTGGTGAGTTGCCAAATTTGGAAATACTCGAGTTATGGAAGAATTCATTGACAGGTTCATTACCGGTGAACCTTGGAATGAATTCGCCGTTACAGTGGTTAGATGTTTCTTCAAATTCCTTGTCAGGTCAGATTCCGGCAGGATTGTGTGATTCCGGTAACCTCACAAAACTGATCCTCTTCAACAACTCATTATCCGGTTCTTTTCCGGTTGGTCTTTCTAGTTGTTCTTCCTTGGTTCGAGTTCGGGTTCAAAATAACTACATTTCGGGGATGATTCCAGCCGGGTTCGGATTATTGCCGGAGCTACAACGATTAGAATTGTCACACAACAATTTGAGTGGTAAAATTCCTCATGATCTCACTTTATCGACTTCGCTTTCATTCATCGATGTCTCCTCGAACCATCTCGTATCCAGTTTGCCGTATAGTATCTTATCGATTCCGAATCTCCAAACTTTGGTTGTTTCTAACAATAATTTAGACGGTGGAATCCCTACTCAGTTTCAGGATTCCCCGTCTTTATCTGTTCTCGATCTATCGAGCAACAATTTCTCTGGGGAGATTCCGGGGAGCATAGCTTCTTGCCAGAAGCTAGTGAATTTGAATTTAAGCCACAATCAACTGATCGGAGAAATCCCGACCTCAGTAGGAAGCATGCCGATGTTATCCGTTCTTGATCTCTCAAATAATTCACTTGTCGGACGGATTCCTGAGAGTTTCGGAAGCTCACCTGCCTTAGAAACGGTCAATCTCTCTTACAACAAGCTCGAAGGACCAATACCGAATAACGGCATGTTAACGACGATAAACGCGAATGATCTGGTGGGCAACGAACGACTTTGTGGAGGCATACTTAAACCTTGTTCATCCACTCACATCGGCAATTCAATACGCAAGAAAATTCACTTTCATCATCTCATTTTCGGATTCCTTTTCGGGATTTGCGTGATTTTAAGCGTCGGAATATTAGCATTCACAGGAAGATGGCTTTATCGGAGATGGTTTCTATACGGTTTCTTCGATGGCTGGCTCATGAAGAGCAGTTTGGAATGGCCATGGAGGCTCATAGGATTCCAAAGGCTTCATTTCACAAGTGCAGATATCATGGCTAGCATTAAGGAATCGAATGTGATTGGAATGGGCGGAAGCGGGATCGTCTACAAGGCCACAATCCACCACCATCCGTCGCATTCTGCCGTTGCCGTCAAGAAGCTGTGGCGGTCGGATCCCGATATCGAAAATGGAGACGACTTGTTTGTAGAGGTGAATCTTCTCGGTCGATTAAGGCATCGAAACATAGTGAGATTATTAGGGTACCTCCACAACGAAACCGACGTTATGATGGTTTACGAGTACATGCCTAACGGGAACCTCGGAGAGGCGTTACACGGGAAGCAATCGAGCAAAATGTTGGTCGATTGGGTCTCTAGGTATAATGTTGCAGTAGGCGTTGCTCAAGGGTTGGCGTACCTTCATCATGATTGTCACCCACCCGTCATTCATCGTGATGTCAAATCCAACAACATTCTTCTCGATGCCAATCTCGAGGCAAGGATCGCAGACTTCGGATTGGCAAGAACGATGGTCCAAAAGAACGAGACTGTGTCAATGGTGGCCGGATCTTACGGTTACATAGCCCCTGGTTAGTTCTTTCATTCCCTACATCTTTTTCTAGTCCATATAACAAGAAAATATAGAAACCCATCAAATTACTCGGAGAGAAGATGGTGCCAACATTCCACATGACTTTCAGCTAAAAAATATTACAGACCGATAGGGTGTCGGTGACTTGCTGATGGTTTTCCTAACAGACACATGACCATGATCATGGACTTAAAACAACTTTCTGCTGATGGTTTTCCTGCCGGTGATATGCCGGTGAAAAATACACTCACCGACGGATCACCGACGAGATAAAAAGCATGTGCTTTAGAAAATTAAAATTATCTCTCAGTAATTCGTTGGTAATCCAACATATGTGATAAATCGCTCTTGTAAATTGGTCAATGCTATACTCTTAACATATGCGATAAATCGGCCTTGTAACCATGAAATTCTTGAATGTTACAGAGTACGGTTACACACTGAAGGTTGATGAGAAAAGTGATATATATAGTTTCGGTGTGGTGCTTTTGGAGTTGTTAACGGGGAAACAACCGTTGGACCCGTCATTTCGCGAGTCAACCGATATCGTTGAATGGGTTCGGGATCGGATGAACAAACGAGAGTTGGAAGGGACGTTGGATCCTGAAATCGGAGGACAATGCAATTATGTGCAGGAAGAAATGCTTCTGGTGCTACGAATTGCACTTCTATGCACCACTAAGCTTCCAAAAGAGAGACCTTCAATGAGGGATGTGATCACAATGCTTGGAGAGGCAAAGCCAAGAAGGAAAAGTGTTTGTGATGATGTTGGTGCCAAAGAGAAGCCCATTTTTAGCAACTCACCAGTTATAGGTCTTTTGTAGTTACTACTCTCGTCTAAGTCAGGTGGAAAATGCGTCAACAAATAGTGCATTTTGGCATGTTGGTTTTTAGATTTTCAAGAAACGTTGTATATGTGTTATTATGTACAAATTGTCCAACCCTTTTGGAGATTTTGGGCAAAAAACCAAACTCCTTGCTTCTGGGGACATTGATCCGAAGCTCGAGTACAGTCCATGCGTTTTTTGTCGGAAGCATACGTAGCCATTTACAAATAAAGTTATTGTTAGGATCCGTTTTCATTTTACAAAAAGACACGGTTGAAGTTTTTGGCTATGATGGCTTTCAAGTTTTTGGTGAATTTTGTATAAGTTCATAATATAAATTCACCAAAAACTTGAAGTTTCAAATAAAGTTATTGTTAGAACGGATTTCAAGTTTTTGGTGAATTTTGTGAAATTTAAAATTTTTCGTGTTCTTGAAATTTTTTTTAAATTCCAGTGTTTTGATATGTTTTTTTGTTAATTTTTACTGTTTTTGTGTTTTTGAACTATTTTTAACTTCTTAATCACTCAAGGCCCAACTGTGTTAGGCCCAACATAGTTTATTCAATGGGAAAATTGCATCAAAATGGAACAAACTTTCATCTTATTTCTATTTTGRGGAACCAACTTTCAAAATTATCATTTAGGGGTCTCTGTCAAACTTTTTGTTTATTTAAGGGCCTGGTTGACCTGGTGACCTATTAATGTTGACATCATCCACTTCTTTTGCCAACTAAGATAGTCCACATTATATTAATTTTTTATTTCAAAACTAATATTCCATGTCATATTAATTTTTTATTTTAAAACTAATATTYCATGTCATATTAATTTTTTATTTTAAAAATAATACTCCACGTTATATTAATTTTTTATTTTAAAACTAATACTCCACGTCATATTAATTTTTTATTTTAAAACTAATACTCCACGTCATATTAATTTTTTATTTTAAAACTAATATTACACGTCATATTTAAAATTACAAAATAATTATAAAAAAATAATTAAAATTCATTTTTTTTTCAAAAATTATTGTAATAAAATCTATTTTTCATTACAAATCTCGTTTTTTTTTAAAAAAAATTCAGATATTAAATTGAAGATTTTTTCAAAAAAATATCCCAATTACCAAAATAAAAATTATTTTTTACTAATGCAATAAAAAATTAATTGATGCAATAAAAAATAAATATCAAATTCAAGATTTTTRTATCCAACCAATCCATATCAATTTTAAAGTTTAAATCAAATTTGGCAAATCAAACCAAAATAAAAGTTTGTTCACAGCGTTCAAATCATCAAGATTAGAATAAAGTCGATGACAAGACATTGTTACAAAAAAAATGGTTAAAAATTTTCAATCTTCGACYGCTTGAATCATCCTTATCARAGTCAATCATCAACTGTAAACTATGGAACTGATCGAAGTTCATCAGGAATTTGTGCATCACCTATATCAACTTGTCCTATGTAAACATATGCAAGTTAGTGCAAATATGCAAGTTAGTGCAAATATGCAAGTTATATGCTAATATGCAAATAAAGTGTGATTATACATATTGAAAATACCTTCCCCAACAGCAATTGGTATACTCGTCTCAAAACTAACCTGTGAAATCTGCAAAATAAACATATTTTTAGCTACAATATTTGATTCATTCAAACACAATCTGAATCACAATTATTATACTTACTCCTATAATCGTATCTCGTGAGCTCGTACTTCCTGAACCCCTTCCTCTTGAACCTCTTCCTCTTATATTGYTTCCAATAACTAAATATTCCTCTTCTATGTTGTTTTTTCTCGGTCTACCAACTGGATTTTTTGGACAAATCGGTGCATCTTTCTTTTTATTTTTACAACTCCTAGAATTATGTCCTACCTCCAAACAATTTCTGCAAGTCATCTTTCTCCYCGATTTGGCTACAACTTCATGGCCATATGCATTTCTTCTAGTGTGACTACTTCCTTCACTTGCATCTTTCCTTCTGGCTATTGTAGGTCTGCCAGGCATGCGTCTAGACTTTGGGGGGAAAAGTTTGGCAAAATCTGTCCTTGGCCAAAGTTTAATCCCATTCAAAGGATTGATCCTATGATTATATGTATTAATGAACTTTACTTTTGAGAAGAAAGGAGACACAAACTTAGCTGGATCTTGGTGAATGAAGTATATGGCTGCAATAACATGCGGACAAGGAATTCCAGAAACTTGCCAACTTCTGCAAGTGCATGTTCTACACTGAGTGTCGACAACAAAACCCTCTAGTCCTTGTCTTACTTCAAAAAGATTCCCCCCATTAGGAGCAACACGCCAAAATCTGCAAAAAAATATTAGCAAACCATAATGTAATATTTATGAAACAAATTACTTTATATGCATAAAGCATAATAATCGTAAACATACCGCATTAGCTCCTTATTTTGCTCAACTTTCTTTCTCATATTTGGACAGATTTCATCATCGCAATTTTGTGCTTTGTTGTTCATCCTAACCATTCTTTCCATCACAAGAGCTCTAATCTCCTCTAGCATTGTTATTATAGGTTTTCTCCTAGATGACACAATCAAAGAGTTAAAACACTCACTTGCTCCRTTTTCTACTGCATCACATGATGTGTCGATCTTGAAAAAMRCCCTTGACCATGTTGACGGTTGTCTTTCCATCAAATGTTCATAAGCATGGAGAGACAAACTTTTAATTTCTTGCATAATTCCTTCAAATTCTTGTGGTGTCCCTGACTTGGATGCAGCCCAAAACAAAGATCTGAATTGGATACCGRTRTACTTCTTCCTGAAATYRGCGTATATGTGTCTAGCACATTGACGATGCTCARCAAGTGGGAATACCTCTTTAACAGCTTCAACAAGTCCCTGTATTAGCATAATGCAATTAACTAATTAGAAGATCACATTCATAATAGATTGGTAAGTGTGTGCAGTTAATTATWAGTATACTATTTACCTTATGTTGATCTGACATCAATGTTACCMCTAACCCATCGGTCAATCCAATGTCCAACATTAGAAAATTTAAAAACCACTTCCAACTATCTTTATTTTCAACCTCCACCACTGCCCATGCAAGAGRATATATTTGGTTGTTACCATCTTTTCCTATCGCACTTAACAATTCTCCCTTGCATACGGTTTTTAGAAAACATCCATCCAAGCCAATGAATCTCCTACACCCTGACAACCAACCTTCTTTAATACCCTTAAAACACACATAAAATCTTTGRAAATAATTTCTATTATTTGGTCCTATCTCGACACTAATTTTAACCGTTGATCCGGGATTACTCCTTCTAATCTCCTCACCGTAGTCCCATAACTTTCCATAATGCTCAATTAGAGCCGTTTCTACTTCCCCCAATGCTTTAGCCTTAGCCCTTTGGCATTGACCCAACTGAACAATGCACTTATACTTTTTTAGAATGGATTCCTTCAAATCAACTAACTTGATAGATGGATTTTGTCTAATCTTCCTCCCATATTGCTTAGCAATCCAATTGGAATTCACAAGTTAACCTAACATGTAATTTCTCCCACACTTGTGCTCATCATTTAGTGACTTGACTTGGAATGATTTTTCATCCTTCATCCAAGATGCCCATAATCTCCATGGACAACTACTTTCGTATCCTTTTTTAGGCGGTCCACACACAACATGTAACTTGTCTTTGCTGTTTTTTAGATACCTTCATTGATAGCAATATGTCAGAAAAACATTAGTAATTAAATAATAAATGCATGTAAGTAAACAAGATAAGTGGCATACCTAAGTTGAAGGCCATTTGAAAGTGCATAATTTGTCAAGCAATTCTTTAACTCCAAGGCCGATGCATATCGTTCACCAACTTGAGGTTTCATTAAATTCCAAGGAACATTTGGATTGTGAATTGGAAGTTCATTGGTTTTGGCCTCATCATCTTCAACTATTTCATTTTCGTTTTCAGAATTAACGACGTCTTCAACAAACCTATCCCTATCGTATTCATCACATAATTCTGTCAAAAAATCATCATGTTGGTATGGTGGTGGTTGTACCTCATTTTCTCTTTCCATGTTACAATCTCTAGGGGCTTGAACATTTGCATTACAAGAATGTATTGCATGTTCAACATTCACATCTTCCACTTCCCTATTAATTTTTCTCATTCTAACATCTCTAATCTCATCATCCCCTTCCGATAAATGATCTACACTAGCAATCTCGTCATCATCAACATCGGAAAAACTAATCTCATCATCACTACCGGTAACATAATCCTCTTCAACGGTATCATCATAATTACTATTCAAGAACTCACTAATATCAATGTTAAAATGATCTATAAAAATTTCCAATTGTGCCGACAACATACCATAACTAAACAACCTTTCAACATCTTTGTCACTATCAAGGGGTTTCAATCCTTTTTCCAAATCTGTGTTAGGAACCCTATAATACATTCGACTAACTTCAGATGAAGTAAAATCTTCAATGCTTTGTCTTAGGCTTCTAATACCTATGTTACTTACATCGAAATCTTTCAAATATGCAACTTTACCTCCATAATAGAATGGATTTGTTTGGAACATGCCACCATGATTTATAGCCAAATTGATCTTCATATTGGTTCTCTTCGGATCTGAAAATAAACTTTTTGAAAATCTCAATATGAAAATAATGGTAGCAAACACATTGCAATCACATGAAAATAATGCATCTCCTCTTTATATATCATGTAGGCTTTAACCAGCTTTGTAAGGAGCATCATAATATGACTTTAACATCATTTTAACCATTGCAAAGGAGAGACAAGAGAAACATGTAGGGGCCGTTTACCCAAATGCTTACCCGGTAAGCRCYTACCRGTAGGAGTCAACACTATAATCTATTTTACCAGGTAAGATTGTAGTATATKAAAACGGTATCGTATGCAACAATTTATCCGGTAATTCTCCAGTCCCCATTATTAATGAATTGTCTCATTTGCAAGAAAAAAACATTATGATTGTTTTAAGAATGGGCAAGGTGTGATTCTTACACAACACTTGCTTCTATGTTTTTATCAACATATATAGACTTTATTTATTTTGTGTTGCATGTTATCCAAGTACTATTGCTTGTAATTTCTATATTATCCAATATATAATGCAGCAGCCTAGTTCTAGCCTCACAATATCCAAACTATCTGAAAGAATGTTATATGTTGCTAGCTACTAATTAGGCCTCAATTAAGAATCGATATTCTAGCTTCTCC